AAGAGGCTTTCTAAAAAGCATTTAAGAGTATATATTAGTTAGAAACCACTTTCTCAACAAATTCTGAAAGAGCTGAAAGTAGCTTTTGAAAAGGAACCAATACATTTCATAGAAGAGTAAATTAGCTGCTATTTTTTACTTTTGAAGTGTTTGATCAAAATCCAGTGCTGGGCACAAGTGTCTTATATTAATTCTATTTAGAGTGCTTTTCTGTGGGTTACAACCTGGATCCTATAGTAGTAACTGCCCCCCTTTCCTGTTGTATTCTTTGGCGTATGCCTGAGAATTGCGTGTCTCCAACACCAGCTGGAGGCACTGAGGCCACATTCTTATGTTTGGAAACAATGCATGAGTTTGTGTGAGCAGGACAGATCAAAACTAAGATTATTTTTATTTGTTCTGTTTAAATAGCGTCATCTACTCAGATTTTGCTAAATAATGAAAATGCCAATTAGAAATAATAGCCACTAAGACTGATCATCCCAGTGATGGAGAACTATAAAACAGAGTTCGACAGGTCTTAGGAAGCAATGCTAGCATTATAAGAACAGTATTCTTCTTAGCCTTTGGCTACAAAGTCCAGGAATTCAGCCTACTATATAATCAATCCTCTACAATCCACAAGCATTAAATTCATCATTAAAATGTTATTCTCCCTTTCCCAAACCTTCCATGTAACAAGCATCTCACTAAGATGAAAGGCATTTGTTACGGAGAACAGCCTTAAGGAAAGCAAAAGGAGCAAATCTGGAAAACATATTCCTATTTTTCTGGAAATGGGTAGTATTCATAAAACATTTAGCGAGTTCAAGGTCAACTTGTTCTCCTGTATACTATTCATAACAGGCATTTGACAACTCACTGACAGTCAATCTAGCAGCTGAACTGAATATGTTGGGTCATCCAGTTTAAATAAAAGATAAATTTTCATTGTGGAGTGACCATCACAAAAACAAGAACAGCAAAAGGCTTTTCTGTTTCTGAAATTTCAATTAAAAATCAATAAATACATTAACAAAAGAGAGGAAATAGATCTAATTTGGGGAAAATGGGTCTATTTGAGCAGGTGTGTACATAAATGGTGAGAGATCGTGGTCCTTCATGGTGGGTTTTGTCTGCTCGTTTAAGTGAAACTTTGCAATCCTGAGCATTCCAGAGATTGCCACCCTCCCCTACCCCCAGCATACTATGTCTGATAAAATGACGATGGCCAATAAGACATTCAAAGTTTGCAGTTACAATTAATCTGGATTTACCTTGTCTTTTCACTCCCTATGCAAGACCACCCTGAAGCTTTTCCCTATATTGACTTTCTCAGTATGCTCTGCCATTCAGTAATAGATGCTAGACAAGAGCTAGTTGCTCTTGTCTACTGAAAAATGAGATCACATTTATTGGATTGGAATAATGAAATTTTCATCTGACTTCAAAGCTGGTGAAAATAGCTCAGGGAGGCAGACACGTATGTTTTGGAAATCCAAAATACCAAATTTTGTATCCATGCAAGTTCTGAAGTTAGGTCCATTTGTAATTCAAGTACTTTTTCTCATTGTAGTTACTGTCACCATGAATCTTGAAGTTGTTGTCTGTCCATGTATGTCCTAAGTGATATGGATATGCATGTCATATACCCACCTTTTATAAAATACGTCCTCCTAACTACATAAAAGCAATCTTATATGTTGTATGCTGAAGACAGATGGTCCTGAAGAACCAGCTCATACCTTCCCTCCACCACTTCCAAATTGCACAGCTATTTCTAACATAGTGAAAGTACATCACATCACCAATAGCCTTCTCTGTTTCAGCAAGATATAAATTGAATAAGAACAAGCAATTGTTTTGTGGGTGTGTTCACAGATTAAAGATCAACTATAAATTGAGAGGAGTATCAAGTTAACAATATACTTTGTTCCTTTTTGGAAACCACTACCTGATTTTGTTTTTAAAGCTGCCACAAGTTTTCAACAGGATTCTTACTCTAAGAGCTCCGTATCTTTCATCAGGTAGCACCCACTGAATGACTACTGTAGATGTCAGTGTCAAATTCTTCTGCAGATATCCAGCTGGACTCTGTACAAGGATTTAGCTGGAAGGATTTGCTGGAGGAATGATATTATGGACAGTTCCACCTCTCCCACTCTGTAGCTTTGAAATATCGCCTATAAATATTTTTGAATATACTCATTATTTAAGATCTCTTCTCCAACTTTGTAATGTATTATAGAAAGGGCTTTCTGCATATAGCTATAATGCATGTCAGCAGTCCAGGAAGACAGCTGACAAGTACAGTGAATCTTGTTCTATATTTGGAAACATCTGCTGTTTTATTTCCATGATGCACAGTGACGTGCTATTCTAAGAGGAAGAACAAGTCTGGCACAGGAGGCATTAGTTTGTGGTTATATAGTATGATACTGAAGTTGGGATTCCTCTAATCTAATTTCTCTTAATCAGCCTCTGGTGGTACTTCTCCATTGAATAAAGGATACCAAAATTGTTGCTTAATGGTCCTCTGACTGTCAGACTCTTTGCTTGAGAAAATGACTCCCACCACTAGAGAGGCAGCATTTCAGGTATGAGCAATCAGCTTCCTTCATATCATTATGTCATTCCTGAAAGGGAAGCATATAGCAAATGTAATTGTGACATGGAGGTGAAATTGAAATTGACGGGAGTGGCTTTGGTTTTAGGTGTCTCTAGATTCAAGGTGAGGAGGTAAAGATCTAGGAGAAGATTTGCTTTACCGTTCATTCTATAAAGCAGTCACACAAAAACCTCAGCAGTATCATCAAACTTCTAAAAACCCAGATGCGTATTCAGGAGAATACCCATTGGTGAGTCAGGAAAATATTGCAAAATTTTGTTCATGATAGTGCTTTTAATTACCTGTAAAATAATTGGAGAAGAAAATAGATGTGTGAATAATCTTAGCAATGTTTTATGGGTAGGGTAAGGCAAATTACTGTCTTTGGTTCTAGGGGTAGTTTGGAGTCTGATCTTCAACTGCCCAAATTTTAAGGGTGTTTTCATAGGTATTTCCATGGTGGTCAACTGTCTATCACTTTTGGATAAATATGGACATTGAGCTAGCTACCCCTGTGGTCTTACCCATCACCATTATGCCTATGGACTTTTGTTCCAATGAAAAATCAGGAGTTAAACCTTGCATAGGTTCAGAATCAGAACATGGTTTTTGTTTTTTTTCAATAATGATTATCAATGGCAAATTTAAATTAGAGCTGGAAGAGAGCATGGGGCTTAGGAGACCTGAAACAGCACATTTACAAAGTGTTGTTAATATGGTATTGTTTGAGGTTTGGATGTCTTCTGAGTGTGTCTGTCTTCAATCACACTGCTAAGTGTACTGACAGAAATTTTGGAGAATGCTGAATAATTGTTATTTTGAGGAGCATTTGCAAAAAATTGTATTTAAAATTCCCTTGAACATTCCTTACATAGAAACTTCACAAAATATATATTATTTCTAGAGCAACATAATTCTGTTGGCCAGTGATTCTTAGCTTTAAGAAGCTGCCCCCCGTGCTCACCCCAATTTAGACATCAATGGAATTTTTGTTCAGCAGAGCTTCGGAGGAGTACATTTTGATCTGTTGAATTCAATTTGATTTGTCAAAATTCTGAATCTCTGCTCTCAAAACTACAAAAAGTAAGCTATCCATCAGCTGACCTAAAAGTAATACAGTAGTCTAATATAGCACCAACATTTTGTTCTAAATGTTATGTCAAGGCTGTCTATCATTAATTCAGCTCTTATATAAAATATTCTTCTAAATAAAATATTGTACTTCATGGACAAATGAGCCTCACAGTTATATTTTCACAATTATATTTTCAAAAAATAGCAATCTCACTTTTTACACCAGCAAAGAGTGAAAGAAACCTGAGGGTGAAAAATAAAACAATACAAAGTTTTGTGAAATATGTGGGCTTAGAATGAAAACTCATGAGCACTTGGAACAGTTGGGCTTTTGGCATAGAATACATCTTAATAATTTTAATGCTTTTTTTCTAATGTATTAAACCAACTTTCAACAGATAAAAAGTGCCAGAAGAATCTTAATGCCAAAATACTCTAAAGTGTGTAAGAAATGTAAAATAAGTGCAGTGTGTAAGGATGAAATGGGCTGTTCCAAAGGAATGCACTCCAAACCCAAGAGCTAGGGATGAAAAAAATAAAAAGAATTATGACTTAAATCTCATTTAGGATATACAAAAGAATCAATACCTTGAAAAAAAAAACCAAAATCTGTGAATTTGCCCTGAGGTGAAATGCTATGGTGATATGAAAAACTTTTATTATGAGTTTGTAAAATCCTTGCATATCATAAAAGAATATTTTATGATCTTTTTTCTTTATAGGTTGTTTCATGCTTGCTTATGTTATTATTCAGAAACATTTTACATCTTCACCTTCTAAATAGGCTGAAGCAGCATTGTTCAGCTACCCATAAAGAAAAGGAGTGACTGATTATACCAGTGATCTTTAAGAGGTATTTTTGGTTTTGGAGTGATAAAAGTTATGTCCCAACACTTGCAGTGTTGCCAACCCACACATGAATAAATTATGATTTAAGCACCTAGAAATGATGAGATTGGCTTCAAAGCCATGAGTTTGAAGTGAGTACCGTTGGCATGTCTGGCCTTCCAGGCCCTGTGGTTTTAGAAGTGAATTCCTAATTTTTCCCCACAATCATGAATAGAGGTTTTTTATTTATTTTTTTTAAATGAGCACTAGATGATTTTACACAGCCATGTGACTCTAGAAGTTGATGCTTAAGTAAGACAGAAGGAATTCAGATGCTACAATAACTAGTGGCCAGTGTATTGTTTGCTAATGCAGATTTTAAATGCCACCCTGAAGGAGAAGGTTAAAAAGACCCAAAGTCTTTCTGCCAAGGCTGCTTTTGTTTCTTACAGAGATCAGCTGTGTCAGAATGAAATCTTCCCTCAGGCCCTCTTTCTCTTGTTTTTCACAGCCAGATCCCTGTAACCACCAGCTCTGGCAGTTAAATTTCTTTTTCACATCTGTACAAGGAGCAGTGAAGCTGAAACCTCCTGGAGAAGCTACCAAAGCTGTGCTGTCTGCTTGCAGAGTCATTCTGGTGGGGTTCTGCTGCTGGTCCTTCCACAGCTGGGGAAATGGAAATTGATCCTGGTTCCTGGACACCACTGCTGATAATGTCTTTTTATCAAGACTCGCTTGTTTCTCTAGATTAAATTGGCTCTATTGAGAGATTACAGTCTCCAAAGGCCCCATCAAACCTTCCCAATGAACAAGATTGGTCTGGATTCAATGGCAGCTGTCTTGCTCCCTCTCATTCAGATTACCCTGTGGCTCCCATGTGACTTGCAGCCAGTAGAATCATAGCATCTGAGGTAGGCTTCAAGCTACGTGTAGTTGCATATTTGAAAGTGATGTATGTGCCTATGATCACAAAATATAGAGTATTTCTTCAGGGAGCTGCACACTGTAATACTTGAGTGTACTCTAATCAGGCAATACAGTCTTATGGTTAGAATAGGTCTGTGACATCTATTGGACTATCAACTTTGATTTGATATTAGTAAAGCCCTGTAAAAAACCTGTAATGATATGATGTTAGTGGGAACTATGAAAGCTATATCAACTATATTAACCCAGTTGCCTCACGAGCCACAGAGCAAATAATCCCAGCACAGGATTGTTCCTCTGAAAGGAAATAATCAGTGTATCAATGAAAACACGTGGACCAAATGTACCATTGTGTCCCATTCCCCCCTCCCCCTTCTTATTCCAGATAAGAACAGTATATTTTCTGATTTATGGTGTTGCTAGTTTTCTTCTCATGATCCATCATTTTACTCTTACCCTCTCCTACCCTTTCGAGGTGGCAGACAATATAACTTTGTAAGATGTATTGGTGTGGGTATGACGCTAAGATGGGATTTTTGTTTCTTCGTTCTTTTGGTAAGGGAAGCTGAACGGACTCATGTAGATGGATGGGTGAAGTGAAGTAGAATATTACTGAATAATCTTCAACCTTGAATAAGGAAAATGAGATACAGGATGCCTAATGTTTCATTGACATCCATGAAAATAGACATGAAGATATCTAAACCTCTCTCAGGAAGAAAATTACGGGGACCACATGCTAACCCATGGATCCCGTGAGAAGAATGGCTTTGGCAGCCAGTGGAGCAACAGGGATCCCATGCACCTCTCCTTGTGTGACCCTAGGGAAGAGTCTGTGTCTAGTGCATGAAGGAGAAGCAAAGCATATTTGGTGACTTCTCAATGCAATGCCTTCCTCCTGTTTCTTTGCAGAAGCTTACTTGACTTAAAAGAAAACTCAAGTTTTGTGTAAAATGGGTAAAATATAACTGCATGTTCCTTAATTTCTGTAGTAATTCCATGATTATGTTTCTAAAAGAAAGGATGCATTTTTATTTTCATAATTAACAGGAAATACATGTTATACATTAAATGTGACACAAGAGAGATGAATTATGCAGTAAACTCTGTGTGCTGATCAGCACAAAGCCCAAGGCGCATTCAGCAGAGTTTCTATGAAGATCTGTAATGAGTTTCAAGTACATAATTTCCTGATGGAGGGTAAGAAAACATCCATCAATGCTAATTTTCCCACAGTTTTTAGCTTTTTATGAATACTTTACAGTTGCAAAAAAAGATGAATTTCTAAAGTGCAACTTGAGGAAACTCTTTTAGTAATTAGAGTGTATTCCTAGCCAAAACTAATGAGATCTGAACCTTAAACATGGGGATGGTTCAAAGTCAGCAGCCCCAGCCTCTAATTTCTTCCAAAAGGTTAAAGTAATTCCACAAATCTGGACACAGATATCTTGCTGAACTCTAAACCAGAGTTGTCATTGTGCCTTCAGAAAGGCAGAATTGAAGTGTTAGACTCATTTGTGATTTGGTAGTATTTTTACACAGCATTAGAGATTAAATGGTCTAAAAAAGCAAACTCAAATGATTTTGGAGCTTCTGAATACCAAGCTTGAGCTCTCTATGAAGCTATGCTGACTTTTCAGTGGAGCATATGATCATATATAATGGTTTATTCTTCTCTAAAGCTTCTGTCAAGCTGTTGCAGTTGTCCATTTTATATTGAGATCTATTTGATCCATTTCAGGCTGCAAAGAATATGACTTTTGCTAGTGTGTGTTGCTTATTTAATGAGGAAACACTATATTGCATGTTTATATAATTTCTATGTGTATTTTTATATAACATATATTTACACTTTTATACAATTTACATTTATTGACATATATTAATACATACTAAATGTGTAGTGTAAATAGAAACATAAATATATGAAATATAAATATTAGTCCTGCTATAACAAAGTAATTGACTCCTTAAAATTCTAGTGATTTTGGAGAATTTAGAGGCTGTCAAGCCAAGAGTTGTGAAGAGCCTTCAAAGAGAAATGTTAAATCAGTGTGTGTGGAGGGTAAAACTACCACACTGGAAGAATCAGGGTATTATTTAACTATATCTGTCTCCTGCTTATGTCCCTCAGTTATGTTAAATGAAAGCTCTCCTAGAGGAAATCACTACTCTTATTTAGTCACAATTTAAGATACTTTTTTACAGGTAGAATTTAACATTAATGTTCAGGTTTCTTAACACAGAGTTGTTTCCAGCACCTCTCACTTGAATCAGAAGGCTTTTTTATATCCACAGATCATATTTGAGTTGATGAATTACAGAATTAAAAGCCATGACCTACTGAATGGTCTGCAAGTTTGAGATTCAACAGTAACAAAAAAAGTAACTCCATATATGTTGAACATATGTGAATAAATTGAAAATTATAGAACCTAAGGATACTTGAATTCTGCAAGACAATCCTCACTCTTCAATTATGGTTCAGTTCCAAAGCAGAGCTAGTTTCAATCATGTCAGTTTTTGTCTGTATTTGCAGACATTCAGGAGCAGAGTTTTGTTTGCAGAAGTGTTTTAAGACTGTGCCTTGTATAAGTACAGGCATGAGGAGCAATACTGCAGAGACACCATATATCATTCTCTTTTAAACTTTTCAGCTATTCAGACACAGACTTAGTTCCATGGAACTGGGTAACCAAGTTAGGAAAAGTAAATCAACTCCGTATTACTTTGGATTTCTACAAAGAGATTATATCCTGATATTTTATTTTTCTTTCCACCCCATCTACCCAGTGTTCAATATGGATATGCAGACAAATAGGATAGGATCTTTCGTGCTTTGCTATTGGGAAGAAAGATGAATTTATTCTTGATTAAGGTAGGCAAAAATCAGTTGTTGAGCTCTGGTAATAAGACAAATATTATTTTGTGATACAATAAGAAATAGGAAATAACACCAAATATTATTCACTTATCTTTGAAAGCAAAATTTCTGTAGCCTGATACTACAGTCATTTCCCTGTTCAGTATTTGGTATGTCAAGTGTTCATACTGGATCTTAAAATGTGCTTAAAAGCTCAAGAGTATTTCAATATTTGCAGCATAAAACTGTTTTCTCTTTGATCGTTCAAGCTTTCCATCACTCTAGGTGGTCCTAACTAATAAGGCACTGTGATCTTCTTCACTACTTGATTCCAGTAGCCGTGCAACAGACCACATGCAATTAGTGCTTGCCATTATTGTTTTAGTCAAATACCAGCACTTATCTACAAATTTACGATCCTGTTAGTGAAACAGTTCCTTTTAATTACATATTTATAAATCATGTCATATATGGGGACCAAAATTTCTCTTTTAAGGATTTAAACGTTCTGTGTCTTTTTAGGATCTTTTTCCCTTCAAGGCAAAAACCTGTGTGAATATTTAAATATATTTAATACTGAGCTGGAGTGCTGCTCTGATGTTCCATAAAAACATGTACTATGAAAACCAGAAATCTTCTGTCTTCTCCCTGTTTCTGTATGAAGTTGTATAAGCATCTAGTTTATCAGTTTGACATGCCTTTGCAATGCCCATACAGTAAGCCTTAAATTGCATATGCCTGCTTCAGCAGCCCTTGTCTGCCTAGTTATGGATGTTGGGCACTAACAGCCCTACTCACTTTATTGTATTTTACTGAGAAAGCTGAAAAATGCATATGCAGAAAAGGAATTGGTATCCTCTGAATTAAATACCTAGTTTTGGTTATTTTTCCCAGGCAGCTATTTGTAATATCTTTGAACAAAGATGATTGCACGGAGGACACAGGTTAATGTGTTCTGTCCTAGTTAAGGGGAAGCTGCGGCCATAGCATAACAGTCACACTGAGCAGATATCCAGGTGTAGAACACAGAGAGAAGTATATTTTATTTTGATATTAGGGTCTAATGATAAATGAAGAAGGGTTAATGAAAAAATTTGTGTGATGACAGTTCGTTCTGAAAGGGGCTTCAAACAACCTCAGCCAGGAAGACCCTTCACAGATGTCCTGTATTTGAAAAAAATCTGCTGATTTTCAGATTACTGAGAATGAAGTTGCAAGAGAAAACTGAGGAATAACTTATAGGTACAAACCTGATCGCTATAGAAACCTTAGGCCTTCTCTTATTTTGATTATAGTTTGATTTGATTTGCTGGTCTCACAGTCTTGAAAGTGATGGGGTCCTGGTAAGGTATGTAAGTTCAAGAAGGCCCTTTTGATGCATAAACAATTCATGCCTCTGAGTTTTTTGATAGTAACCCCCTGTCCCCAAATCTTATCTAGGCAGCAATTTGTGTCATGGTCACCCCAGTACATACATAATTTGTGACTTAGAGGTACAGGATGGTCATTGGTTCCTACTGTAGTGGCTATTTTAACCTTACTCCCAGACCAGTTACTCAACTGGGACACTTGATTAGGCTGGATTATCCGACAGTAAGACTTTCTGGTGCTCTGAATCGCCCATGCACAGTCCCAGTAATCTGAAGCACTGAGCATGAATTTTCAGCCCTACTCAGCTGAAGAAAAAAAAAGAATTAAAATTTAACCTTTATCGTTTCATTGCCATACAGTACCTTAATTCCACATACTCCTTAGACTGAGGGTTAAAAACCCCTGGCAGTTAAATGCTAGTGGAGCATATAGATCTGAGACTTTACTTTCATCCATTTTAACATATACAGGTGTAGATTCTAAATAATTCTGAAAGAAATTGTTTAATTAAACTCAAAAGGGGGGAGATGTCTGCCCCAAGAGAGGAATGACACAATGGATTTGCTCTGAACTGCCTGGGATCATTTAAAACCAATGAATTAAAAATCAGATAGTCAGCGAGGGCTATAATTTACACTACAGAGGTGGTAAAACCTTTTGTGTTCATATTTACAGAGAAAGCATTAAACTACAGTGATTTTTGATTTTATTTTTTTTTTCTTCCCACCTGGGAGAAATGTGAAACTCAATTTTAACCCCGATTGGCAAGGTGCTAATTTGTCTGACAAGTTGTTGGAATCTCAGCATGTTTGAGGTATCCTTGATGTATCAACACCTTCATGCTGAATGAAGGATGCCTTTAATGTGTAAATGTTTAGTAAGTATCCTATATCTCATTAGCCAAGAACAATACAAACCACACACAGGCAAGAAGGGTCAGAAGCAAGCTCCAGTCAGAGAAAAATCTTTTATGGTCTAATTAAATGATCAAACATTTGCAATACATCCATCTGCAAATAGTTTATCAAAAATTGCACTTGAAAGTTGCAGCCTAACTTATGTCCTAAAGGCCTCATGAATCTAGTATCAAATGGGCACCCTGAACTCTAGTGTCATGTTGAAGTGCTGATACCTTATTAGTGCATGCAATATCACCAAATATTAAGAATAGTGGAAGAAAAACAGTTGTTAAAACCCCCCACAATTCCAAATTCTAGTCTAAGTTATATGGTAACTTAAAAGTTATATTTATATGTAACTTAAAAAATTTAGCTGTCTGACTCATATGTTAAAATGAAAACATTTTCTAGGGCAAATTAAACCATTTTCTAGGGAAATACCATCCCCATTTGAATGATAGGTAGAAGAATCTGGAATTTGATTTCATGCTGTAAGTATACCAACAGGTAAAAGGAAGTCAAGCCAGTGAAAACCAGGTTCCTTGCTCTAGCCATTCCCATTGCCCTTCCTATCTCTGCTGCCCTTCAACAGTCAAATAGCAGTGGCAAGCTGCTCAGGAACCCCCTAGACCTCACTTGGGCACTTCTGTCTGCTGTCACTATTCCTTCCTGGTGAAGCCTCAACAGGGCTGGTGGGCTTGTTACTAACTCCCTTACCCACTCCACTCTGGCTCTGGTTTAGGTGGTGCCTCTTGCTCTGTCTAGACCGAAGCATAAAGTGGGCATAGGCTCATGGGGAGGACCATGGAACTTCTGCTCCATTTGGAACCCTTTTAGGGGACCACCTGTCTCATCCAGCCCTTGCTGTGGTCCTCACCAGCATGCTCTTCTCTGCAAGGCCACGTGGGCCACTGGTGTGCTGCTAAACCTCTGGCTGGCTACATAGCAGTGCTGCATAGAAGAGGTCTGAGGACCTCTTTTTATTACTATTTATTTACATTACGCAAAATCATCTTAATATAATTTGTCAGTTCAGTTGCAATTGCGCCCTCATCCTGTATATGGGTTTATTCCTTCTTTCTGCCTTTCTTTTCCAGAGGGTGATCCCTTTGGACTGCTGAAACCTGATGGCTTGCAATCAATAGTCTGTAAAACAGTAAGATCAGCAGTGGAAAGATCCAGATTTTCTGCCTATAAATGAAGATTGCTGGGCCACTGAGGTGAGTCTGACTTAAACTTATTGCTTGATAGAGGAGCAGAGTGGGAGGAAAGAGATTAAAAATACCTGGAGACAATGTGGAGCTGTTAGTACAGTATTGATCCACTTCATATAGATGAGGGAAATATGGATGTGTAAACTTACAATAGATATTACTGACAGATGTCATTTTCTGCTTAAATGCTAAATCACTGATAGACCCTGTGACTAGAATTCTAAGTCCCATATATGCTGTATTGCAGCCTTGCGATTTGATCAGGAATAATTGCCTGGTCATAACATCAGTTTTTCCAACGAAGGTGAAACAGAAGTCTAGTTTTTGGTTTTATGCTTTTAATTTTTTTTTTTTTCTTTGTGTGTGTTCTGGGGGATGTGTGTCTTTTTTGAATACCAGTAAGATTATGTTTAGTTGTTCTGGGCAAATAGGAATATACAAGACTTGAACAGAAGTGCTATAGAGTGACATGCTTTGATATGAATGCAAGTTTAGAAATGGTTCCTAAGAGGACAATTTGCCTAATATGTGAGTAAGGCTGGGATAACAGTACCACATTGATGGAGTAGCAGCAAGAGCATGGGGTCAGTGGGTGAGTGGCAGACCTGTGTTTGTATGCTTATATGGGGCTGCCTCATGGCACTGCCTCAGCCTGTTGGTTCAAAGGCAGGGTGTCATAGCCAAAACTTGTATTAAGCACTTAGCTCTTACAAAAAGAAAAGAAAACAAGTTCTTCTTGATTAGAAGATTGAAGATTCTTTTGTGGCTTGAGGCTGTCGTCTCATGAACAGTTCCAACAAGTTATTGCTGAAGTGATTACAGGAGTGTTGTGGTAAGTATTCGAAGTTCACAAGTTAAACCCTAAGTGAACTGACCACAGCAGCTGGGTGACCTGTTTCTGTGCCTGAATTAGCCAGTCAGGCACAGACTAGTTAGCTGTGTAAATACTCACGATCATGTAGGCTTTACATAAGTTCACCATCTCAAATTCATGTTCCTACTACTAAGACAGTTTATTAAGTACTGTTAAATATTTCCCTCTTATTACTGTCTGGAACTCAAATCAGAAAAGCTACAAGAATTATTTAGGTCTAACAATGTTCAATTTCTTTCTGAAAATTAAATTAGCTGGAATCAATTTGAAGAAAATGAGGTTTTCCTCATTGAGATGGGACTGAAAAAGATAATTGGAAGAAGCACAATAAGGAAATAAAGAAAAGAAAGGCCAGGCAGATAGAGCAGGTATGTGACCATACTTTTCATGGACATTTTGACTTTCTTCCTATGTTCATTTACTTTGTCATACAGCTTCATGACATACAGTTTCATGTCACAGAAGCAATAATCTTAACAGGAAACAAATTTCTGTCTGTGACCTAATACAACAGAGACAAGTATTTATATATTTAACTTCAATTTGGGTGCTTGTGCTGAAATCAGTGGGAGTTAGAGGAACTTAAATATACTTACAGATCTTGTGACAGCTCTATTCAAGCACTGGTTTTCAAATCCACAGATAGAGTTCTGGTTTTGTTAGGGTAATGATCATAGAGCATTTGTCTATTTCTAATTGATACAAATAAATATTAATTTCCAATCTGAATCCAACCCTCAAATACCTAGACATTTATTGTTGCAGATGCTGAAAATGCTGATGAGAGCTGGATGAGCTTTCTAGCTGCTCTGAGGAAACCTCTCAGAGCTGTTTCCTCTGCCAGGTTCCTGGCAACCTCTTTGGGTACTTTGGGATGTCTGCATGGCACTGGGCCCACTGTACTGCTGAAACTCTGAGCATCACAGCAGTAGCCATAGGTTTGTCTCTGGGTATATTTACTTGGCTCCTTGCTCTTTCCAGCTGGCAGACACTGGAATACGAAACTGTTCTTCCTCTCTAGATTCCTTCCTTTCATGTCATATAAGGGCATGCACATATTTAACATAGAAAATCACAGTCTGTCAGCCTTGATACTACTATTCTCTTTTCCTAGATTAAAAAAAAACTTATTCATGGTTAACTAAAGCTTCAGCTGATTTAGAGCACTGCAATTCATTGACTCAGCAGCAGTGTCAAGAATATGGCCGCTTCCAATTTTTTCTCCACAAAAGTTCGCAGGGTGCTGAGGGTCATTTTCAAGGCTTGTGTCTACCTAAGGCATTTGAAGGTCAAACCCAAGTGGTCCGTGGTCATACTCTGAAATCAAGTTCTTCCAAAACTGGCATCTCCTGATAAGGCAACAATATGCTGGATGCAGGGTTAAGAGATTTCTGATTGCTTCTCTAGGGTTTGCCCATGGGAGTAAGCATGGTGACCTTTGCACTCCTGGATAGTGGGTCCCAGCCACAACCTTTTTACCAAAGAGATCACTATCAACCAAAAAAGAACCTCAAACTTCCTCTCAACATAAAATAAGGCATCCCAGCAACTCAGGCAGAGGCAAATAAATGTTGAACAGATCTTTATGAACTGAATTCAGTTCAAACTGAAACTTCATGTGCATTGGCAGTACTCAAAGTATGGGCTTTTGTTTCTTTTTCTTTTTTTCTTTTTTTTCTTTTTTTCTTTTTTTTCCTAAGGGAAAAGCTGAACAGAGCTTAGGAGGTAAACCAGAACTTGACAGGTGGGTACGGGTGCAAGGTTTGTACTAGGTGTTAGCTCTTCCTTAGGCACCCAAACGAAATAAGAAACAGCTAAAGGCTTCTACCACCCAGAGCTCTTCATGATGTTTATGAACAGGCTTTGAAATCTCTAAAATGTTGCCAATGGGTTTTGAAACCCAAATAGGATCAGGGCATCACAGCCTGAGAGTTGTGTAAAGCTCCTGTTTTGTGCTGGTGCCCCCCAGCACAGAGGATCTGCTCTGGTTTCTCAGGGACAGCGTTTGGTTGTTAAATTCATTTCCCACAGGGGCTTTCTCCTGTTTTCCTGTCTACTTCAAAAATGACAGGCAGAACCAAAATCCCATTCGATTAAAAGAAAGTGAAAAAGGGAGATGGAACTCTTTGCAAACAAACCAAAACAGTTTGAAATTTTTACTTCAAAAGCACCACAGTATTTTACCAGCAGTATTTTAGCAAGGGCTGAATTCATTAGCACTGCCTTATTCATGCTGCTACCATTAAGAGTTCTACTGTTCAAAAACACTTTAAAGAGGCAACTGGTTTACTGCTTTGAAATATCTCTGCCCAGGAGTGAATTTTTGCATTCATTTTCAAAACAATCAGTCTTCCATGTGGAAGCTGTGTAAGTTTATGTAAGACCATCAGTCGTCAAAGACAAATAAAAAATAACAGGCTTCCTTATTCTACCCACTTTCCTTTTCACCATCTCCCTCTACATTTCCTTTTCTTGTTTGTTATTCAGTATCAGGTACTACAGTCATGTGCTGGGGTAGCACGTGCATGCGTGCACTTGTGCACACTCAAGTGTGTCAAGGCTCAAAAAATGAAGACTAGAACCATCATTTCTTGTTTCTTCTTATCTTCCTTCCTTTTCCTTTTCCCTTTCCTTTATATGTTCTCTGCTAGCGTTTTGTAATGCTGTTAATCGCCGTGCTACTGTGAATCCATGCTTAACTGTGATCCTAAACTGTTATCATTTCCAGTATGTCTTGACACTGAGCAGTGGTGAGGTGTTTTTGTGGTGCCAGAGCCAAAGGTAGAAGCCTGTGACCTCTGTTAAGTTACTCTTAAGTCATTCTGACCCATTTAGGTCCAACATTAGGTGGTTGTTAGAGTTTATTCTGTCTGTGGCAACTGAGATTTAATTGGGAACATGAAAAATGTGCTGGATGTGGGAGATAGAGTAAAAAGCATGCTTTTGTTCTGAAACTGGGAATCCCGGCAACGCAGACTGCTGCAGAAACACAACTTAAGATGAGCTTAGCCACCTCAGTGCCTCTGACAGGCACTGAAGTCAGCTACTTAGTTTAGTAGTGTGAATGGACAGGAAGTCAGAAACACGAATGCAATGTCAGCAGCGAAGTTAACATCACTTCCTTGATAAAACATTGTGTGCACTGACGAGCTGACAAACACATCCATCTCATTAGGGCAATCCTGCCCTACGTGTTTCTGTAGCTGCCAGATATGCTATTGTACAGCTGCGGTCCTTATGCTGAAGCAAGATGCAAAATTACTGAAGAAGTACTTTCTCAGGATTAAAATAAAGCATAGAGATACAATGAATGTAGAATTCCTAAATGTGGATGGAAATGTCAGCACGGCCGATGCAGCGAATTTTGCAGGCTCCTGCTTCTGGATGTGGTGATAAGAAGATGACCTTCTGGTAAGTAGCCATACTCATGGGTTTCAAAGGCTCAAGTCAAAAGATTTTGTGATTTTTCTCAGGGTGATCGCGTGATAGCTGGTAATGTTTTCAAGTGAAGATAATAAGTAGCAAGTTCTGAGGGAAGGGTTTTCATTTGCTGGTAGACCAAGGGAACCAAGGAGCAGGGTCTGTTACTGTTCATAGCCTCTGAAACTCGCGCAATGGGACTTCATAGCAGGGGGGAGAAGGCGGAGGTTTGGTGAAGCGACTACAACTCCTGGCTCCGGCTCCGGCCCCGACACCAGCACGGGGGGGCCCGGCGGGTGCTGCCATGACAGCGCCGCGCCGCCACCTAGCGTCCGCCGGGGGGAGCGGCGGGCCGGGTCGGGTCGGGTCGAACTGCTGGGCTCTGGGACCTGTACCTGGGCTGTGCGTTTGCTCCTGCACAGATGAGGGAGGACAGTTGTGAATACAGCATCTGTGATGCGTACAGGTGATGCCGGGTGGCTTTTAAGAGTGACTTTTTAACTGGAAAAGCCCATTGCTCTATGTCACCTCTTTTCTATTCCATCAGCTGGTTTTCCCTTTAATATCTGTATTTGATGTAAAACTCCGTTTTTTTTCCGTCAAGTTCTCTGTCTGGGATATCATGATTAACTGCACAATTTGATGAACAGAATTGGGCCCCAAGGTAAAAAGCAAGCAAACAAAAACCACCCAAAACTGTTGCTCGTTTTCATTTTAACTGCATTTCCTGCAGTCACATTGTTTATGTTATTAAGGCCTTGATACTCTGACATACAGAAAGGCAAAATTAAAAGCATTATCTTTTAATACCTTATCATGCGCTTGTCTTGTATCAGCCTGCTAAAGATACTGGCAGAGGGAGAGAGTATGCATTTCTAAGGACAAGCTCTATAACTTCAAGACTATAGTCTCCTGAAATATATAGAGCTGATCTATAGAAAAACAAGTAAAATAACAAGTAAACTACACTGTGTCTCAGTTGTTAAACTGCTGCTGTCAGTCAATGTAATTCCCACTAGCTAACAATAAAATTGTTTTGACATGCAATCTTGCACACACTTCAATAATAGTTACCTAACAGGGATTTTCACCCATGAAAACATCTTTTTTTTCCCACTCACTTAGTATCACGAAAATTTTGATGTGATACAAGTCCTGTTGTAAAGGGCACCCTGTCAATGACAGCAGTCGCCAGAGCCACCCTGTAAATTGCACTGTAAAGAACAGTCATGTACAATACATCTGTTATATTTCATAATAAACCCTATCTTATCGCCAGGGACAGATGCTTCAGTTTTACAAAAAATACTGTCAGACCAGATCTGCAGTGCTTGTAATTGGAAATTCAGGGTCTCCCAATTGTCTTTGCCTGCTTGAGCTGCAGTCAGGCTTCAGCTTAAGCCGAGGTGGAGGCTTACTTTGGGGTAATTACAGAGCTAAAGGGTGGCCAGCTTGCGCTTATTCCCACAAACATTAACAGCATCCAGCACAAGCAGGGTCTGATGCAGTGATTACAAGACAACTCCTCTGTTCCAAGCTCCTGAATGCAGCAGAGACTGCAGCAGCCCCTGCAGCCACTCCAGCTGTGCTTGCAAAGCAGCTGGACTAAGCACAGGAGTCTGCTGATCCAGGCTTTCCACCAAGCTCCTGCTTTGAAAACTCATGCAGGGATGTGGTTTTGCTTCCAAGTGGAAGAGATCTGTAAATGATTTGAAGGTTCAGAGTTCATGGGTGATTTGGAAAAACACCCGTCAGGCTGCAATGCCCGTGGGGGACCTGTCTGGTTAGCTGGTGTGTCTCTGGGTATTTCTGGCATTTCACCTCCTGACTGAAGTCAGGAAAACTCAAAGAAAAAATATGGAAAAAATGCATCCAGACACTTCCAAACTTGGAAACCAGTTTCCTACTGTTTGTCAAAGCAGGAGTAGGTTCTTGTGTTACCCATACCTACCCGCCCCTCTTTGGACTAGAAAATAGGCACAGCAGTTTCCTTAAAAATATCAGATAAGCAGCATAAATAGCTGCCCAAGAATCAGAGATATGACTAATTCCTATTCATTAGACACATGCAATATAAATAACTACTTTTTTCACTACTCATTAAGTACAGCGAAATTCCTTCAGCCCTATCACAGGCGTCCAGGTCTGCTTCCACACTGTCTCCTTTGAATAAATCCATGTCGTCATTCTGAAGGCTTGTACTTCCAATAAAAGGAAATGGGAAAGGCTGTGCGCCACGGGCATCCTCCTCTACCTCTGCAGCTCTGGTTCCTGGGGATTTAAGAAGATGGGCTCCAGGGGGTAAGATACAGCCACTAATTTTGCTACTGGCATAACATCTTGTGTCTGAGGTACAATTCCCAGATGGCTTTCTTAAGGCATCTTATTGCAAATACTTCTGGGGAGTTTTGTAATTCATCTCAGCAGCATATGTAAACACTACTTAACGGATGCCTTTAATGCTGTCTTCTTGCTTCCAGGATTTTCACTGGGTCACTGCATCAGTGTTGGAGCTTTCCCTGGGGCTGCGCACATGTTGCCACACAGCCGAGGGCAGGGGAAACTGTGCCATTTCAGCTCAACTTGATTACAGGTTTTTGACTGAAACATGCTTTTTTTAAACTTATTTTTGTTTTAAAGAAAACCCTGAGTCACAAAAACTTACCTTGTAAATGTATTGATTTTGAGAAAAATATATATGGGGGAGGAGGGGAAGGAATTCTTCAGTGATTGGACAATTGCATGTGGGAGCCTTGTAGTCAGCAAAGCACAGTGAGTTGTGGCATAGTAGTCAGTGAGCCTGAGAGGGAATCAAGCAGGGCAAGTACTAGTATCCTTGGTCTCAGTATATCCTACTAGTGCCAATTCGCATTGTAGAGTTAATTTAAAATTCAGTAAGTCAAGGAGAAAGTGCTCATAAGACAGCAGGTACGCATCTGGTGTGACAGGGACCTGTCACACTTAGGCCCTTGATTCAAAGTGATCAGGGAAAGACTTGTGCACAGCAGGCAAACTCAAATGCCCCAACTCTTTTTTTTGTGTGATGCAGATTTCCTTGTTTGTATCAACTCCAATGTAATGGAGATGAATAGAATAAAAAATTGGGCCATCTATTTATACTCTCATTTTCCCTCCCACATCTCTTCTGCTTGTAAATGCTCCATGATTGTCCTCCACTAATTTCGTTTAACTTCAAAACTAGGGGTGGTGGGAACTGAGGATGCCCCAAAAGTAATTGTATTAACAGAAAGTGGTGATGTGAGGTCAAGGGGAAGTGCAGGACCAGAGTGCTCAAAATACCATCAGCTACGTCAGGAAAACAGATGTGCTATTACTCCTTTCTGCATATGGAAAATAGTCTCAAAATCATGGTCTACTCTGAACAGCTTAAGAAAAATTTTTATTCCGTTCTTCTGCTTTCTGCTTTTGAGAAGGGATTCTAGTTTTTCCACACATTCCCTCCTTCTTCCTCTCTCCCCCCTCCTCCTCCCCACTCCTCCCCCCCCCCCCCCCTTGTTTTTTTGGTCACTGTGAAAAACCTTCAGAAATTCATCTACAGAAATTCTTTCTGGTTTTAAAAAACCCAAACAACAAAACACAAAAAAACCAAACAAAACAAAGGAGCACCAGGGGTATGGACGTCACCGGGGCTCCTGCTTGCAGTAGTCCATCTGCTGGAGTCTGTGGATGGCTGTGGGCACCACTGGGGAAGCTAAGACCAGCCTTTAGCAATAAATGTAAGTTACACTGTTGTAGGCTTGTGCCAGAGCTTAGTGCTATGCTAATGAACACTGTAGATGTATGCACACCTAAACTTGGTTTACTAGGAAATCAAAAGGTAATGCACATTTGTAGCAGATAATAAAAAATGCAACTGACTTATCTGTTGACAGGGAAGCACTACACAAGACTAGAGCTTCGTAAGGATCCTGCAGGTCAATCTGTCCTGCCTCCAGAAACCCAGCTCCAGGCGCTCTTTTGATTCTGAAGGTATGCCCTGCCTAACTCACTGTGAGCTTAGTGAGACAGTGCACGTTGCCCAGCAGCCATGGTTCTGCATTGACTTGAAACAATGGGACTGACTGCTGTTGTGCTGGGCTTTGTTCCACAGAGGTAGGCTCACTATTTAAACCATATGTTGAATTATAGCCTTGTAAGTAGGAGGAAAACTAAAGCATATTTCACTGGGTTCTACAAAAGCACTGAATGGGTGTCATTTTTATCAAGGTTTTATGTGCACTATCCAAACACCAAACTGTTGTGCTGTAGAATGAAATTTAAGGTGAGCTGTTGTATTACATGTCTAGAGGTGACTGCATCAGTAGTAGTCCACAGTTTGTAGTCCTTGCCTCAGGATTCGAGGCTGATGCTTAGAGATGAGTTTTTGGGTGGTGAAGAAGGATTGCTAAGATTAGAGCTGGACATTTGATTTTCAGAGGTATGATGGTCTATTTCCTAGGGGGTGTTGAAGCTGCTCAGGATGAGCCCTTGACATTCAGGTAGTTGAAACACAAAGTGCTCCTATGTTTTTCTGATGCACCCAAAGGTAATGTGAGTTTTGCAAGCCAGTCTTGCTGTTGGGGTTAGGGCTGACATTCTCCAAAACTGACTGTTTGAAACTGTACCTGTCTTCTGTTTTAATTAGGTGGGGTTCATGGCTAGAAACCTGAGCTAAGCAGAATGCTAAGTGTGGTGGGTTAGTGCTGGGCTGGAGTGCAAAGGATGTCTGCTTGGCCTGCAGCTACGATGCTGTACCTGGCCTTGATTGCACTACTGAAGCATTTTGGGACATAGCTTTCTTGTGGAAGATTGGAATAAGTGGTATTTTGCCTACCACAGAGTAATGGGCTAGTAGCATAAACAGATTGTATATGTGAAAAGGTATTAATGTGCTCAGCAAGCTCCATTAGCTAATTAATAGTTTTTTTTTGGACCCGAGTTTATCTAGCACCACTAACTAAATTCCACAGTAATGCTTGCAGTGAATCCATTCTGTGGTCCTTTAACTTTTCAAGTCTGTGGAAAGGAACTTTTTTCTAATATATGTTGCAAGCTTGGCAGTACTTTCACCAGGAAAGGAACCGAATGGTCAGGATTTCTGCCAATTTGGGTTGAAATAGATGTGGAAGAGATGGTGAGATTTTTGCTGTCTTCAGAAATTCAGTTTAGCCTAAGTCTGTACTTGAACCTGATTTTAATTTGCATCTTAGCTTCACATATTGCATTTTTTACTTTTCTTAACTAAAAAAAAAATACAGGTAAAGCAACATAGAAAAGCCTAGTTTAGTTTGCAGCAAAAAAATGCTCTGCTAAAGAAGTGAGAGTTAGTGGCAGGCTAGCTCATGATGTTCATTCTTGCTTAGATACAGTGAAGGCAGATTAAGGATAAATTACTGTGAGCAAATGTCTTGTTTTCTCTATGACTCCACCTCTTTCTGGCATCCTGCCCTGTCCCCACCCCTTGCACTTGTCTGCATGTCTTAATGGCAGTATTCATGCAGCTGGTAATTTATGTGTCTGAGAGAGAAGATTTACACAGAGCCTTCCCTTCAGTTATTCAGAATATTTTAGATACAGTATTTATGTGATTTGTTAGGTCCCAAAGTCCAGCTTAAAAATCACAGATTTTTTAAGGGCTAAGCTCGAGTCAGAAAAATTTTAAGAGGTATGATTTAAACTAAAAGTGAATTCTTAGGTTGTCTCTTTACACCTGGTTACAAAAGTTTTTCTTCAAAAATAAATACAATGCCTATTGTAACATTAGCACACAATCATTTGGCTTTGACCGAGGCAGTTTGATGTTCTGCTCTGAAGACAGACAAAGCTGATCCAGTTACTGAAACCTACTTGATTCAGTTGGTGTCTCATGTCATAAACATGAATTGTTAATTTTGTATTACTCATAACAGGCGCACTGTGAATGTTTGCAGAGTTTATAAGATATCAGTTACAAATGTGATTATACCAACCATTCCTCAGGACTGACACCAGTTTCAAATTAGAAGCTGACAGGCCTCACCTGCTCCTGAGTTCACTGATAGGTCACCTTCTTGTCATTTTGGCATCCCCCCATCAAAATGACATCTGTGTTCACGAAGGAACAGTGAGGGACTTGAAGTTGTTAGAATTGTTGAAGAATAAAGTGTCATCTACTCCAGTAATGTACTGCTCAACTTTGGCCTTTCAGATGGCTTGATGCTTGTAACACCTGACAATGTTTCCAGATATAAGAATAGCTGGATTGGAGGGTTAGCAGTTGTTCCCTCTTCTACCCATGGATGCTAAGTATTCAGCTCAGCCCTAGCCAACAGGGTGTAGACAATCCTAGAGACTTGAGCAAAGAGTTTGTAAAATGCCTTTACTTTTCTACATACAGGAACAGGACATTAAGATAAATAAACATTCTTTTCAGAGGCCCTTGTTACACATCCATACTTTTAAGCAAATAATGTGTGAAAGACAAAAGATTAACATTGTTCAACAAACAACTGAATACAAAAGTTTTAAACTTTTTCAAGTTGTTGGACATTTCCATTAATTTCTTTACATGTCATTTATGCAGATGAAAACCATGATTTTACTTAGAAATATCCTGACTCTTGAAAACCTGTTTCTTCTTAATAGAAGATTCTTCATAGTCACTCAGTTTAACAGAGTTTAGCTAGGTCAGTCCAATTCCTCCTACATCTTAAAAGCTAATCCCAAAGTCTGTATTTGATTTCTGTTATTAAACCTGTAAATGCCAGATCCAAGCAATGTCAGACTTTGCACATTAGATTTGGGCTCCCTAGATTTCAAAGGAGTTAGATAAAGAGTTATCTAATATAGGTGTACCATCTATGGAACAGTTGTGCAGCTTTCTTTTTAAGGCTTGGATTTTACATGATATTAAGTAAATGTGTGTAAAGAATCTCATTCAAGTTGCCTGGCCCATTACCATACAGAGGAAGATCTCTGAGTGATGGGATATTACAAGATCATGTGCACTAGGTTGGTGGGAAAAGAGAACAGACATGTCTGTGAGAGGGTAGCCAAGGATAAACAAGATGTTGAATTACACTTTGCCAAATGAAGGGCTCAGAGCAGCCAAGGAAAATCTTTTGTTTTATCCTCACTAAATTAGACTTTTACTTTTGTCTTCGGCACTGTGGCTAGCGGAGCTGTAAGGACATTCAGTTATCATAGTTGCCATCATTCTCTGAAATGTGTCCTTGACTTTATTTTCTGCTCCAGGAAATACTATAGCATTGTTATTTCATCTATACTAAATAAACCTACCGCCAGATTCCTCATGGTGTAAACAAGCATGACTTCAGGAAAGCAATGCTGATTCATGCTATCCAAGTGTCTGATTCTTAATATAAAAGGGAACATGTTACAAGAGAGTAAAACAAAAGCAAAATGTTTTAAGAACTCATGTCATCAACATAGAATTCCCCCCACAGAGTTCAGAAAGAGAAATAAAAAATAGCTAAGGTAGATTTGCAGAAGCCACCACATTTTTTATTTTCTTTTTAATGATTTGGATATTGATCATTTTTAATCTTCTCTCAGGACAACCAAGAGATCTATTATAGCTTGAGCCAGCCATGAAAAGCAGGTCCGTTCTTTAACCTGCCCCAATTCACTTGGACATATTTTATATCTCCAGGGATTCAGCCACGAAGTCCATTAGAGCATCAGATGCAGTGAGGTCAAATCAATTGTCCATACTGCAGAGAAGGTAACCATCATTTACTGTAATTCTCCCCCGTCATGGTAGAGGAGAGGAAAGGTTAAAAGCTATATTACCATGAGGCTGTCTCATCTATCTTTCAGTATATTGGTAATACCTAAACATTGCTTAAAGAACTGAATGTATAATCTTAAATCTGTGTTAAATTGGATTTAATGGTTAGATTGCTGGATCAACACATTTGCTAATGATCTTTTTTTTTCAAAGAAGAGCATTAAAATAACCCCATTTTTAAAATATAAAGCAAAAATTTTTATATTGTCACGTCCAAAGCTATACTGAATGTTTATCTCAGGATAACCAGAATGACTGATATTTATCCTTCCCTGTACATAGATATATTTACCTATGAAGTAATTTGCTGTCATCTCTTTAAGCTGGAGATGCTGCGACAGTCCAAAAACAAAAGAGGAAGTAAATTCAGGATGTATATTTTGCACTGTAAATCAAGCCCTTATGTGTTTGCACTCTAGGATGGGCAATAATAATTGACTGAAGCAATCACTGCTGTGGGAAAACAAACGTCCTGGCAGTGTTGCATCTGAAGGTCAAGCCTGATGACATAGTAAGCACCTGAACTCTCACTGACTCCTGGGGAGGCGGAGGGTGCTGAGCACCTCCTGAAGCTGGCCTGGCAGGGACAGATTTATGCAGCTGCTGGAGCTGGGGGTGAGGATGCTTTTTCTCTCCCACCTCCTTCCATTGGGGCTGCAAAGTCATTTATTTCCATCACAGTGCTGTGGCATCTCTCTGACTCCTGCGCTCCATGTGTTAACTGCATGAAACCAGAGAGAAAATGCAGTTCTGTGCCAGGGACTGACTGTGTATTCCTCCTTGTCTGAACATTTGCACTGTGGCCCTGATTAATGTCTCATGAGATGATGTGCATGCAGGGGAACCATGCCCACCCCTGCCATGGGTGTGAGAGCTATGGCACTCTGGCCTGGTTCTTGTAGGACCCACTGTTGAAATGGGAAGCAATAATGAAGCTCAGATTTATTCAACTGTTTGTTTTTTCTAGGTTAATCTTTTTTTTTTCTTTTTTTTTTTTTTTCATAGGGTTTCTTTAATCCTGAGCTGTTTTCATTAAGAAAGTGATTGAATGAAGGGGATACCGAGATTTTCCATATTCCAGAAATCTAACATCTGTAAAAATCAGTAAATTTGTCTCTCTCTCTCTCTCTCTCTCTCTCTGTGTGTGTGTGTGTGTGTGTGTGTGTTTCAGAAGCTCAGCTGTCAAGCAAACACACCCATGTATTTAAAATAGAACCAAAGTAGAAAGAAACAGAAGATAGTTAGGTACTGTTCTTCTAGTAAAAGTGTATAAAATATATTTTTGTGACTGCCATATATTCATGATACTCTTCTTGGGAGACAGTGGGGTGAATTTAGCAGAAGTGTAAGAGTTGGTGTAGATTACAGATTAGTAAGTATTTTTATTATGAAACCTATTTTTAAGGTTTTAGTTAGGATTTAATGCTTAGCACAGTAAATTCTAACTTCAGATAATGTGGGTATTCAGTAACCATAAAAAGAAACTGGTAAAAGTTTTGTGTGTGCTGAAGGAGAGATAAATGTGCTTTAGATTAGGTGTTACATACCAGTCACTTAAATGCTTTTCCTCTTCTTTATTCTTTTTAGGATTTACCTTAACAGAGACTGCGTGGCTCCTTTTCCTCAGTTTGTGTTACCTACATCTCTGAATTCATTCCTATGGATGTGTATTTGCAGGTCCTTTGCTAGTCTTCACAACAGTGCAGTTTACCGTTGTCTCACTGAATAGAGAGAAGTACTATGAATATATACTGGATGACAACTCCTTACAAAATTAAGCACTAAAACAGCTAAAGCTTTTTCATTTTAATATAAAAATTCTGAAGTAAATAATGAGAATGTAAATCTAAGGAATAAATTCATCCAAGTCTGGAAAGAAATGAAAGCTTAAAAAGATGCTTTCCTTCATAATAGCACAAAATTAGGACTGTATGTCGCTTGCATGGTCTATTGCTTCCTTGTTCTGGAGTACCTCTCAGATAGCTCACAGCTTAGTAGTACCCTCT